TTACCAGCTCTCACCTCAATGTTCCAATTGTGTTGTTCTAATGTGCGCCGACATTGGTCCATTGACTCCAAGCCTGTCAGGTCCTGAATAAGAAGAACAAATCTCACGTTATTTGCAAACAAAGGAAAAGAGCTGAAATCTGTTGTCATAAGTTAAACAATAAAAATCCTGTTGCATGACAGATGTTTACTAAATATGTGACCAGCTTTGCTAATGAATGAAACATTTGGGTGGCAGTGTGTTTATAAAATTATAGATAAAGTGAGTGTTTTCGAGATCAGTCATTATTCAAGGGCATGTTTCTTTTATATTACTCTGACTATGACTCAGGAGTAGATGATGAACAAGTAAACTTCTCCAGTGATTGCTGCTACCAGTTTAAAACAAGACAAAAAATCCCCTAAATGCAGCAAGTTTAAAAGTTGAGGTATTGGCAGACTGGGGGGCAGATTAGCACTGTCTCAAAACCTAGTAAACTGTCTATCTAGATGGCGTTTTACGTAGCGTTCAGGACGACTAGCTGTTCTTCCTCCGTCCGTCAAAAAACCTGTCCGAATGCTACCTAACTAGACAGCACTTTGGCCATCATAGGCGCACTTTCCTCTGACCAAATCTGCTGTCTAGGTAGGCAGCTCTCTAGATTTTGAGACATAACCAATGTCTCGCTGCCTAACTGACAGCTGCCATTTCAACTAAAACAAAAGACACTTGTATACACGAGAAAGTCTTTATGTGGGCATAAATCAAAAGGATATTATTCAGATTAAGTCTGTATTTATTAGATAAACTGAAGCTGGTGTCAGCTGAGTAAAAAATAACGGCAGTTAGCTCGCTGACTGGTCATTTATACTTAAAGCAGCTGAGCTGGACACTGCGAACACTATTTTTCTGATAAGTAAGTCTATAAAAGATCCAATCAGTATGTATTAACCAGACAATCTAATTGGTACCTGAAACTGAAGGAGTTTTTCAGTTTGAGCCTGAGATAATTCCTGTTCTTCTGGCGCCGCCATCTTACCTCGCCGAGCCCTAACAAAACGCGATGACGTTTAAAGCGTGCTGACGTGACCAATGCGTAAAACGTTGAACCAACGCTTTCTTTTTTTGCGCCGCCTGCTGCGCAGGAGTCGTGTGGCGTATCTTCTACCTTCATTTGTTTTTTCAAAGAAAAATATTAATTTATAATATACATAAACAATAAAAGGTGTTCTTGTCATTTTAATTGAACATTAAGTGCAGCTAGTAACCATAATTCATTCAATTATCTATGCTATAATATTGCGGGTAAAGCACATTATGTACTGTGATATTAGAAAAAAGATATTACACAAAAAGTGTCTAAAATTAAAACATAAACACCAGTTATGTCATGTGATGCACAGCTGGCGGAGATGCCCTGTTCTATCTGTTTATTCCACTTCTTGTTAACAGAAGTAGTATACTCAAGACTGAGATTAGGTCATATTGGATTGAATGATACACTGCAGACAATAGGGAAGAGTAATGGATTATGTACAAGATGTCAAACCAAGGAAGATGTAGAACACGTCTTGTTTAGATGTAATAAATACCATGAATACAGGCAGAAATGGCAGGAAATGGAAGAAGAAAATAAAATTGAAGATATTCTTAGAGAACAAGGGATGGAAAGAAATAGACTCAAAGCTTTGTTTATATTTCTTGAAAATACTGGATTAATAAAAATAATTTAGAAACGAAAAGACCCCACCCCCCCAAGTAAGTATCTGCCAAGTCCCTTTACACACCCCTGTACAGTAGGTGGCGATATGCAATAATTACAAGTTGCAAAAGCCAAGAAAAAAGAAGAAGAAGAAGAAGAAGAAGAAGAAGAAGAAGAAGAAGAAGAAGAAGAAGAAGAAGAAGACGTTCTAAGCATGGCAACTGCGACGACCCCGGTTGGCCAAGATCAACCGACCAAAGCAGATCGTCCACCCGTCGTGTTTGATTTGTCTCAGCCTCTGGTTATCGAGGGATTTACCCCGCTGCCCAGAGCGAAGGAGGAGAATTTTAAAGACAAATTCATCCGGAAGACCAAAGAGAATCCATTCGTCCCTATAGGTGAGTTACGTAAAACAGTAAACAGTGACTTACACATTACACAAGTACACCAAATACAGCTTCATATGATTTTGGTTACCAACAATACAATTAAACGTCATTAAAGATCAAATTCAGAGTGCTTTGAATATACTTAATGTAACATTTGTGCAATGTCATTGCATGGAAACCTCTTATGTCATGCATTTCAGATCAAAGTGATCATCTTGCAGTGACATATATGGCATGTTCCATTAACCATGCAGCTGAGATTTACATTTTACACTGACAGAAGTTAAATGTGCAGAGTTTGACTTTCGTTTACCCCTGTACAAAGTAACATATACGTTAGCAGTTGATACACTGAGTTCCCTGCTCTGTGTTATGGAAGTGCTGCCGTGCAAATTCTTTGTTGTGTCAGAACCAGAAAGGGGGAAAAAAGGGATGAAATACAATAAACAAAAACAGCGACATTGTTTATGAGAGGAATAGTGATTCAAACCAAACTCTTACAACAATAAAACAACAACAATATATTTCTAATATAAATGTATAGTACATTTTGCTAGCTACCTTATTGATAGCAAGTTAAAAAAAGTTTTTCTAGTTTACTATTAACAATTGCTGTTGTAACAATATTTTGCCAAACATATACTACTGTTCAAACGTTTGGGGCTGGTAAGAATTTTTTTTCTTTTTTTATGTTTATTGAAGACTCATACTCATCAAGGCTACATTTATTTGATTAAAATATGGTAAAAACATATAGTAAAAAAATAAACATTTATCAATGTCAAAAACAGTTCTGCTGCTTAATATTAATGATGATTTTTGGATGAATAGATGGTTCAAAAGGACAGCATATATGTGAAATAGATTTTTTTTTTTAAATATTATATTGTCACTTTTGATCCCCCCCCCAAAAAACCTTACTGACCACAAACTTTTGAATGGTAGTGTTTTGGGTGGGTAGTAAGCGAAGTTAAATCACAACCAGAATCCCAGAACACAGTGGATTTTCCACCAAACACACCCTTCTCTCCAGCTGTGGGGTTTGAATGTGACCCATACAGCAGTCCAGCTGGGCTTTACTCAAAATACAAACAATAAAAACAGAAAAGCAAGACTGTTACGCCAGAAGAAATAAAAATACATTTTAATGTTTTAACATCTTTCACAGAAAGATTCTATCAGAGCAAACCACGTGATAATGTGTAATTTATGGTCAATGCATAATTCTTGTTTTGTATAGTATAAGATCAGTAGAATAGCTATCATTTTTCTGTGATTTTCCTCCTCAGGTTGTTTGGGAACAGCAGGAGCATTGATCTACGGCCTCAGCGCCTTCAGACGGGGCAAAACTCGACAGTCCCAGCTGCTAATGAGAGCCCGTATCTTCGCTCAAGGCTTCACCGTCGTTGCTATTATAGTGGGTGTAGCTGCCACAGCACTGAAGCCTAAGCAGTGAAGAGAAGACACCAGACCCTGTTTGACCAAACTGACAAGCGCCTTACATGGTCGATGGGTGAAATGTGATGTGAATATGGAATGAACTGAACATTAAATGCCAATTGTTCGCATTTTTTTTTTCTTTACAGAAAAAGGTCCAGTGTAAGAACTCATATTATAGATCTACAGGTGGTAGATGGCACTATTCGCAAATTGTATCAATATGCCACACTTATACACACATTTAAAGGTACAGTTCACCCCAAAATGAAAAATCTGTTTTACAATCATTAACTCACCCTCAAGTTGTTCCAAACCTGTATGAGTTTCTTTCTTCTGTTAAGCACAAAAGAAGATATTTTGAAGAATGTTTGTAACCAAGCAGTTGATGATAGCCAGTGACTTTTATAGTATGGAAAAAAATATATATTATGGAAGTCAATGGTTACTCGCATTCTTCAAATTATCTTCTTTTGTGCTTAACAGAAGAAAGAAACTGATACAGGTTTGGCACAACTTGAGGGTAAGTAAATGATGATTTTCATTTTTGGGTTAAGTATCCCTTTTATACCCACTATTTCATTTAAAGAGTCACAAAATTGTATGGTTGACAGGCATAGTACCTGTTTTTCCATGTTGATGACCATTGCTTGAAACATTAAAATGCACTTTTGTTTTTTTTTAACCTCAATTTTCTGTATGTATTTAGAAGGACTACTTAAGCTGCTGTGTATTTGCTAATGGGAATTGATCATGAGAATTTGTGATATTAAATCTCCCAAGTGTGATAAATGTTAGTCTCATTTTAAAAAGTCACAATAAATATAGTCTCAATGCATATGTTTTTAAATGAATTTATTTTAACGTTTTACTGAATACAGAATAATTATTGCATGGTCTGCACTGATGCACAAACATTTTGGAGTCAGGGTAAGGGCTAGGAGATCTATAAAAGGGGGACTGAGAAATCCAGCCAAATTTAAATTACAAATCAATTTTCACTAGATTGTTGAATTAGACCCCAAAGTTTATTTGAAGCAGAGTCAAAAACATACAGATGGTTTCTTTGGCTATTAACCATCATTTGTTATAATATGCAACTAAAGTTATCTTAAAAGCCAACAAAAATTCAATTTTCAATAGAAAGGCCTCCTAACTTATTCAAATAATCTGTAACATGTATACATGTGCCATGAAATAAAATGGATTACAAATTCAAAATCTGGACTATAAAAAGCAGTACATGTTTAAATTCCAGCATTTTAAAGTAAAAATACAACTACCTGCATTTTCTTACAGCTATGTTTTATTTCTAGCGCTTTTGGCAGCTTTGAATGATGTAAGCCTACAGATCAGGGGTGGCGAACATCGGTCCTGGAGAGCCGCAGCCCTGCAGTTTTGCTTCAACCCTAATCAAACACACCTGAACAAGCTAATCAAGGTCTGAAGGGTTACTAGGAAGCTACAGGCAGGTGAGTTTTAATTAGGGTTGGAGCTGAACTCTGCAGGGTTGCGGCTCTCCAGGACTGGAGTTCGCCACCCCTGCTACAGATAGACAGTAAGCGTCACAGTGAGACAAGGTTTAGGCACAGGATTCATTGCTGTAGACTGAGGCCACAATTAACAAACTCCACACTAGAAAAGCACATGGTTCAAACTTATTACTATTAGTCCCTTATGTATATAGTAACATAACAGAACACATTAACCGCCATGTAAGCACAGGCATGTGCTTAATGTGCCATGAAGGATTTCTGTGCAGTGGTATATTAGCAGGTTAAATCTGAGTAATTCTCCTGTAAAAGATTTATTTTAAGTATAACAGAAGCTTTTATGGGCAACATGCACATTGAATTAAAAACGGCACTCAACTATTTGAATATTGAAAAGTGGTAATGTGTGAATTAGAATTAAACAAGAACCTTAGCAAGCTCAGAAATGTAACTTCCCTCTTGACAGTGAACAGAAATAAAACCAGATAATGCCAAACCCAGATACTGATTACAACACAACATTCAACTTAGGACGACAAATAAATGGTAAAAAAAAAAAATACTATATAGGGTGAGAGATTGTAACTAAACTGTCCCTGTGTAGACTGCAACCAAACACTTCCATTTCCTGTGTAACAAGGCAATAAAGACACTTACTGGTTCCAGTGAAGTTATGCTGTCTAATGGTTTGTGGGCACTGCAAAAAACACGACAATCACAAAAATAACTCATAAGCTAACCAAAATACTTTTGGCATTTGGATACATCTGCTGCCTTTCATGTATATTGGGATTAAGGGAAAAACTGGACTTGTTTTCAAATGATCGAGGTACACTTACAATGTTCTTCAACATATGGAACAGCCAAAGTCTTCTGACATTGCAAAACACCAGGGTACATAAATAGGAAGTTTAAATACAGTAAAGCATACACATTCAATGACCCTTTTTAAAACCATAAAAGCTTGAATTTGTTAGAGTGTTCAACCTCACTAAAATAAAGTGCAAGAGGGAACAAGAAAGAAAGCCTAGGAAATACAAGAGGGAGTTATGTTAGCGAAGCAGAGGCATCTGTTTTAGAGAAATAAGAACGGAGCGCATCCGAGACACGTCTTTAGTCTGACGGCTGGTTTTGGGGTTAAAGTCGCATAGTCGGGCCACTTTGTCCCATTCTGTTCCAGGACTGTCATCAACGCACTCCTTGAGGAAGACCTCCTCTGACACTCTACATGGACAGATAGGAGAGAATCATGAGAGCCAGCACTTCACAGATGCTCAGGTAAGAGCCATGTCACTTATCATCATCTCAAATGAAATTAGAGATCGACCAACATTATTTTCTACACCCAATAGAGATTATTTTCTGTCCTAGCCAGGTCTAAACACACTGAATGTGAAACTGTGACAATCACAGCCAATCAGAAGATATTTGATGTTAATATTTCATCTTTTTGGGTAGGCATGTTAAGTTAAGTGTTCCTCACTTTAGAATGAAAAGTGGAAGTTATAGACCTGTTAACAAGAATGTAAGTAGAAAAGTGTGATTATCATTAAAAATGTTGGTGGAACAGATCATTGGTCCATCTCTAAATGGAGTGAGAAATAAAGCCTGTATGTGATTACACTACTGTTCAAAACTTTGGGGTCGGTAAGATTTTGAAAGATATTGATACTTTTATTCAGTAAGGATGCATTCAATTGATCAAAAGCATATTTAAATAAACGCTGTTCTTTTGAACTTTCTATTCATCAAAAAATCAGGAAAGAAACATTTCCAAAAAAAATATTAAGCAGCACAACTGTTTTTAACATCGATAATAATAACAAATGTTTCTAAAGCACCAAATCAGCATATTAGAATGATTTCTGAAGGATCATGTGACACTGAAGACTGGAGTAATGGCTGTAGAAAATTCTGATTTGCCATCACAGGAATAAACTACATTTTAAAGGGGTCATATGATGCGATTTAAATTTTTCCTTTCTCTTTGGAGTGTTACAAGCTCTTGGTGCTTAAAGAAGATCTGTAAAGTTGCAAAGACTAAAGTCTCAAATCCAAAGAGATATTCGTTAGTGTTTTTACTGTATATTTTCATCAAATAAATGCAGCCCTGGAAAGCATAGGAGACTTTTCATTTGAAAAAATCGTACTGACCTCAACCTTATGAATGGTTGTTTATGTAATGCAAGCAAGAAACTGAGTGCAATTATGTACAATTTCACAGATTTGCATTAAACATACACAAAGTCAATGGCATCAGAGTTGGGCTGTTTGTAGAAAGTCTTATCAGCGATCCTAATGCACAAACAGGCAGGACAGTAGGAAGAGGAAAATCAAAGAAGAGAAATGAAAGGAAGAGAAAAATGGGAGCCGGAGAGTGAAAGAGAGAGAGATACATAAGAAGAAAGTCAGTCTCACACAAGCTGCCCATGAAAAGAAGTGTTAAAGTACATCAAATACTTTTTCATGACACCAAGAAGACTGAAGATACAACATCATATGCTATCCAATCAGTTTGATCATCCCCTCAGTACGAATTGTAAGTGCATTACTGTAAATAAGATTTTTGTTTCTGAGGAATAACTACATTTTTTAAGAGCTTAACCCGCATTGAACCTGGAACATTCCTTTATTGATTATTTAACTTGACATGTGCCTTTGTATCTCTCTCTGCTATAAATTCGCACACACACACACAATCACAATACTGTAATGTGAATAAAACGGTACACCCAATATCAAATTATAACTATTCACAATATGACACAAGTCAAAGTCGACGTGATTGTTATCAAGAATTAAAAGCATGCAGACAGCATTCGGAACAGTCTTCTCTGTGCACATGAAAAACTACAGTAAAAAACAGAGGGAATCAGATACCATGCAAGAATCTGTTGAGAAGTGTGAGAGGTGGCTGGCATTAGTTTCTCAGCAGTAAGACTCATGATGGATTAATTACATTTACTTGTGAGTATGAGAAAGATGAGACCTCATCTAAAACATATTATAAATATTAAAAAAATTTCAAAAAACAAATATCTTTAAATCAGCTAAAATTATACTAATGTCAATAGTAAACAATAAAACTGGCCTGTATTTTAGAGTTTGGCAAATTATTATTATTTTTTATGTTCTCCATTACAAGTCTTTTCTCGTATGGACTGGTGGTTCACAACTGTCTGTATCCTAATTTTCACTAACAAATACATACAGCTCAATCAATAAAGCCTGGATGTTAGAGTGAAAATACCTGTTGTTGGCTTTATTCTTCTCCATCTGTTCACTCTGGTGTACATGCCAGTCCTCTAGTTCCTTCCGGGCCTTTTCCCTCCACACAGCCTCAGCTGCTTTAGAAGCTGCATCTGCACATCAGAAAACAGAGAAAGTTCATACACAACACACAAATTGCTAGATTTGTATTAGAAGTAATAAATAAACAATAAGTAAGCAAGCAAGATTTATCCTCATATGTGAGATAATAATACATTTGGCTTTTTTCCTATTATAAATCAGCTACTTGAATAAAGGCTTTTAACTGTTTTTCCATTGAAGTGTGTACCTTTTCTTATTTGTGACATTTTGTTAATGTTTTGCTAGAAAATAATAAATACTGATGTCCATTACATGGCTGTAGCATAACTTAAAGTGAATGTTTTTGACTACTGCTGCCACTGTGGAAGTACTCTATTCCCATGATTCATTTGTTTCACAAAACACGAATGTTTTCTTTAAAGAGATGAAATGATTAGAATTCAACTGTCAACATGATCTAAGTGATCTAAACATGTTGGCCACCATATTAAGAGACCAGCTTTTTGTGGAATAAACTGGATAATTTTAAACATATTTGTCAAAAGCACTATTAATTGACTGGTTTTAAATTGAAGAAAAAAATAAAAAATAAAAAATAGAGAGCTTTTTAAATTAAATAACGTTAAACCAGCTTTTAAGAGCCAAGGCTTTCACCTGAGAAATTTCCTCCATATAATATTATGATATGCCAAATAATTGTCTTAATTGAACTTGGCAGTCTATCCAGTTTGTAACACACAAACACAAAAAGCACAATTTCCTACTGACAGTTATTTATAATTATTCAGTACCTAATTCCTCCAGCCGAGCCTTTTGTTCCTCCCTCCATTTGCGAAGGCTTTCAGGTTCTTGTCTCTGTATGTCGACTTGGGCAATGGCTGAGTAGCTGTCTGTTGTGCCGTTGGTGTCCTAATGTTTCAAGTAATGTAATGTTAACAACGTCTGTTCCTGGCACAACTGCCAATTGTGTTGTAGTACATAAAAACAAACAAGAGCATTTAATATGACAAGATTTGTTGCTTTTCTAACCACACTCACTTGAAACATATCTCTGTTTACAGCAGTAGCTGGTGCTTCTCCAAAATCACCTGCGCTCAAATAGAAGAAACAACATGAGTTTAAGCACTTGTTAGGCAACAGTTTCTACGCTACGTTGACTATAGAAACCTTACAAACATCACTGGAATGCAGCACACCTTGTTGGACCGTGAGTATGTAAAAACCTCTCTCACAATTTCTGGATCTAAGTCTGCAGGTGGGCTGGTGTGTGTTCACTTTTCAAAATGGTTTAGTTCAGCAACCTTGATTGTCTCTACTCTTTTGTTATTCACAAATAGCCTTTTCTAGTGCGCCTTTCCAGTTTGCTTGCTTGTCTTAACTTGATAGTGTGACAGGTGTGACTTTAACTCCAGCATTAAAGCTGAACATGTCATGTTAGACTACTGAAAAACTTTGACCACAAAACTTGATTTGGTGCGTATTAGTTTGGAGTTCACTTTATTATCTTAATAAAACTCATCAATCCAAATATATATCAAAGTCTTCATGGTTGTTGTCAATTATAAATAATCTCTCTCCACGACTGTCAGCTTATGGATAATTTTGATGATTATGATTGTAAATCACTTCCCACCCAATTCATATTACAGCATCTTTGCTATATTGTTATTATAAGTAATAACGATTAATATTAACAAACAACACATATGGTTGTTATTATTTTGTAAACTTGTAATTGTGGTTGTTTTTGTTGTAAGTCATTGAATTAATGTGCACTATCCTTTACTAAAAAGTGCTGTAGCAGTACTATTGTACAATGGCGGTATCCAGTGGTAATATAATATAATAATAATACAATATGTTTAGGACATGTATCATGGGATTCTTAAAAGTACTAGTAAATATCATGGCACAATAATTTCAGTACTGCCAAAGTACTTTTTGTATGGAATTGTCAAAAATCATGGTAATTTTTTTGTAAGTGATATGGCACTCATTTAGTACCATATTCATATAGTATGTACATGGTACTCCAAGTATACCATGGTACAATTTCAAAAATGGTAGCCTACTACTGGTACTTATATGAAATAAGGTTATTGTAGTAAGATTTTACATTAAGTTTACACTAAATACAAACTTGAATAGTCGTATAATCGTATAATAATATAATAAAAAGCGTAATAATGTTTAAGTGCAAGCAAGCAGGCCAGCGTAACACAATCACCTCCGAACGACGTGTACGTGTTCGCGGGCGGAGGTTCGCCGTCCTCCAGCGCGCCGAATCCGGCGCTGTCGTTCTCGATCACGGCGATCTCATTTTCCTGCTGGGCCAGAAACGCCGCGGCCGGATCTTCTTCTGCATGAACTCCGTTGTCGGAAGCCGAAAAGCCAAAGTCGTCAGCCATGTTTAACAAAGTAACACCGGCTTCCGTAAAGCTGCACTAAAACCCTCCAGCTGTTTTGTTCTTCTAGCAAGTTAGGAGTGTTTAAAGGAAAAATAAACTTACATTAGTTGTTAAAGGTCAAACATAGACAGATTTGCGCGTTGTAAAAGTATATACAATATTTTTTTACTTTTTTATGGCAGCAGGTTGGCTGTGAGTTGAATGACACGCAGCTCTTGTTGGGAGGGCTGGGAAAATATCTGTAACAATAATGTGAACGCACAGTAGATTTGTGGTGTTTTGTCTTCATCTGCTGGAGACAGTACGTAATTCAGACTTCGACCCTGCATCAAGGTGTTTGCCATAGTTCATACTGTGATGTGATGATTTGTTTTCCTTTTTCATCTTTAAAAATGTCAATGGAAGCTACTGGTTCTAAAAATGATCTTTAACCCCTTATGGTACGGAATAGCCATTATTATTATTATTATTATTATTATTGGCAATAATTAATTTCTACTCATTTCCTTGTTATTCTGAAAAAAAAAATCACAATATTGCACTATGGGAATTAGAAGAGCGAGGCCTTAAGATAGACAATGTGCTGTTTTTAAGTCACTTGACATTTGAATGTCCGTCCAAAACTCTTTTTCCCACTGTCACCCTCACACTGAAGACACCTGTTGAAGTGTTCCAGAAATTGCTCTATTAACCTCATTTCTAAACGTCTCTTCTCATGTTTTTTTTTGCAGCATCTTTGTTAAGTAAATTAGATCATTTTTATTCACAATTTAACTAACATAGTTTTACTGTAAATTGAGAAAATATCAATGTTTCGTTATGGCAATGCTGTACCACTATACGGAAAAATAGGTATGTTGCCATATGGCTATGCTGTACCATAGTGGAATTGCAGTAATGTATTTCCCCATTGGGATTGTTTATAGATAGTAGCATCAATAATATGATTGCAGTTATTTATTTATTTGAAGTGTTTAGTCTAGTATAGTTGTATTTATGTATAAATAACAAAATAATTTCTTCTTTTCAGAAAATGAATGCAGCAATAGGCTATTTTATGGAAAGGCCAATAGGAAGAGTGCGAAGTTAGCTTTTCCATGTGATGAGAGTGAGGATGAGTGAGCCTTCAGTGAAGGTTAAATGATAGGGATCTACGTATTTTTGGTTTGTATGAGTTCCAAGAATATAAAACTATCAATTTCTAAAAGAAATATGCATTTAAATAGAAAAGAAAATCATAATTTTATAGAAAAACTACTTTTGTTTGACCATTTTCCGTTGTGGTATAACCCCCCCCCCTTTTTGGAATTTCTATTTGTAATGGATCAAGAAAGAAACTTTAAATAATATAATAGAAAATATAACAATATAATGTAATCCTACTGAAATATAAACAAACAAATACTTAAATACATTAAAGAATTACATAAACACCGAATTATTGTTGGTAAATACATATTTGACATAAATGACTGGAGTAAATAAAATAAAATAAAAAAATAAAATAAAAAAATTACTGTGGCTGTATTCAACAAAGACATGAGTACCTGCTGGAGGGTAATAGATCCTCTTTGAATTTATATAGAAACTCAAACACATCATAGAACATATGTGAGTCTGGCCATGGGCGCGCGCCCACCGAGCCGTGCGTCAGGCCTCCACGTGACGCATGACGTATAATCAGAGTCCTACTAAAAGAAAATCCAACAGGGAAAACCTGCGGCTACTGCGCGCGACCTGACGCCCAAGTCCAGAAAGTTGTGAAGTTTACTTGATCTCCTTATAACAGCCCATCAGATCAGAAGACAGAAGGCTGCGATGTCTGCCGATCCGAAAGAGGTAAACGCACTGCTTCCCGACTTCTTTTTGGATGTACCGGCTGCAGCCGAGCTTTAAAGAAGAGTGTATCACGTTTCTAGGTTACATGGTCTCTCTAATGAGAAGTATTACAGAAGATTATTACTGGTTACGATGGCAAACTTCTGCATCAGTTTGAGCTGTGTGTATTTGATTTATGATGTAATTAAGGTTGCTATAATGTAGCTTTATGATTTAATGCGGCATGTTAATACAGTAGCCTAATTTCATTTGAATGCGTTGGTTACTTTGGGACTTTTCCTAACAGGCAATTAGTAATACATTAGTTTACATTTTAATGTGGTTTTGCATCTAATCTGGATTCTCTAAAGAACTAAATATTGTCTCTGTAGGAAATTGATTTAAAAAAAAAAAAAAGATCTTTTAGTTGTAAGTCATGATTACAGAGTTAAATCCAAGTTTACTGCAGATTGTATTTAGTTTCAGTGATCAAAAGCCTTGACTTTTGTCTTATTTCCTCTTACTGAAGAAAATAATACAAATGATTATAGTTTATAGGACAATACTGAGTTACATGCAATTTGCAAAGTACAGGATTTGTTCTTGCACTCACATAACCCCATTGACAGAAATGAATTCAGACTGCTTGAACACTTAACTGTTTTATGCTTAGTTATGTCCTTTTTCAGTTTTATCAGTTTCTTAAGCACACCATTCTAATTCACCGCAGGGGATGAAATGTCAGACTTCTGAATGAATGCTATTTTAAAATAATTTATTATTATTATGTTTTGTTTTGTTTTTTGTTTTTTTTTACACAGGACTGTATGAAATTGGAGGTAGTTAATGGAAAATTGAAATGCGCCAGAAAAGAGACCTTTGAGAAAGTACAGTGCCCTCTCAATTACAGTTTTACCGCAGGGTACGACAACAGCAGCAGTTTTGTCCTCTCAAATTGTATTCAATGACATAACCTGCTTTGGGTGGTAACGGTTTTGCCATCCAAAACATATGTTATTCACACAGTGTGAAAAGACCATTCAGAATGTGTAATGTATTCTCAAATGCAGTTTTACCGCAGGGCAAAACAGTGCCGCTGCACTCTCAAGTTGCTGTCACATACCCAACCGTGGGTGCAACCATGAAACATATGATATCCGCATTGAGAGGAATGTTCATTTGGCTTCCCACCCATCCAACCTGCCTTCTGATGACTTTTTCTAGTAGTTTATGGGTTTAAATGTTACATCTAGAGCCAGAGAATCTGAGGTAGTAGATGTTTTCTCTTCCTTCCTTCCTTCCCTCCCTCTCTCTCTCTTGGTCTCTCTTCCCCCTCTCCGTGACTCGTGGGTGTTGGGCTGAAATAGTTTGGTGTAGTTTTACATTCCTTATATAGCCTGTGGAGTAAGAGAGACGTGGAGCGAACCCGTGTCACAAAGAAGGAGGGGAGGGAGTTGAGCTTTGCCAGCAGTGAGAAAGTCAGGCTGTCTCGCAGTGCCAGATTTCCACTTGGTTTTCTGGAGGTTTGGGTGACAAGTTTGGCCCGTGGCATAAGGTATGTGTGCAGCACGCCACCCTATAACAGGTAAACTCCATGTGGGATAGGATAGCCTCTGGAGTTTGAGGACCATAAGTCACAGGGAGGGGGAAAATGTCATGATTTGGGGGTCTCCGCTCGTCCTTGGGTTTCAGTTTTATGTCATGTTACTATTTGCTCTTGTACCAACCTGTAACATAATTAACACAGAGATGCAATGGTGTGCTGGAGGTGCCAGCAGTGGATTATTTTAGTGTTTCAGGAATAAAATGGCTCATTAGTTGTTAAATTAATCTGCTGTCACCACACATAAGTGGGTCATTGAGCGTATGCTTTATTCGAACAGCCACTGAGTGCTATAAATCTATGTTGAGCTTTTAAAATGTTCTGGGTTCTCACAGATTTGCTAGAGTGTAGATAATGTGCACTTTCATTGTGTATCACTGACCAGTAATTTGCAGTTCACCACGCAATGGAAGTATATAGGTGCTTATTTCTGTCACCTACCTGATAATTCATTTAAATAAGCCGGTTCTCAAATGTCTCCACGAACACTACTGTTTAACCGTGAACAATTGGTCACGCAGGAATAAAAGTGTTTTCAAATGGTTTCAGGAATGTTAATCTTGAGCCAAATGCATTAAAACCTGAAAACTTTCTTTCAGTTGTCAAATTTATCTGTATAGCTCTTTTCACAGTACACATTGTTTCAAACCAGCTTTACAGAAATCTTCATGCCTAGTCACATTTAGCAGATTAGAGCTGGGCGATAATATAATTTACATTTTGTGATGATATAACCAATCAAGCAGTTGAGGTTTGCTGTAGTTCACATTGATTAATGTGAGTGTGCTGTATGTGTGCAAATAAAGTTGGATATCCAACTTTATATAGAGACCTTTGCGATAACATCGTTTAAGCAACCACAGAGATGAGTTTTGATGTACACTTAAAAATACAGGTTCCAAAAGAGGGGTTTTCATAGTGATGCCATAGTAGAACCATTTTTGGTTCCCCAAAGAAACTTTCAGTGAAGAGTTCTAAAAAGAACCATTTTTTTCTTTTGTGCAATGAAAGGTTCCATGGATGTTAAAGGTTCTTCATGGAGCCACAGATTTAAGAGTTGTCTAGTATTTCTTTCTAGTATATATAGCTTTATGTGAGTGTACTATATGAATGAGGGTAAATTTGAATATCCTATATATTGTTAAATATTCTACTATATAATTGTTCAATGTATCTTCCAGTCCAAAAAAGTTTGTTGGGTTTAATTCACGGACAGTCAGACGTCAACAGCATACCAGACACGGTTCACGTGTGTGGGTCTGGAATGTTTGGTTTCAGCCTTGTTAGGAGCTCTGAATCACTTATAATATTATTACTGTGATGTAATGAAACTATAATCTTTCTTCTGTGTTTGTTTTCTCTTTAGGCCATGAATATATATAGTGTAACGCTCAACGGACCTGCTCCCTGGGGTTTTCGGCTTCAGGGAGGCAAGGACTTCAACATGCCCCTGACCGTGTCAAGAGTAAGTGACCTCCATTTTGGATGTAGTGATGGGTAATAGACCCATTGTTTTGTTTACAGCTTAAGCTGTTAGCTGCTTATAAATGATGTATTCATCTCGTTTGTTCCCTTTCAGTTTGACAAATGATGATCAAGGTGTTTCACAGACTTAATTTAGATAACGTGAACCCATCACTCACTCAAGGTGTTTTCATCCAATTTCATTCAATTCTGTGTCAGTTTACAGTCCCGCCTCTGCATGCAGAAAGCCATCAAACACACCTCATAAGGAAATGCAATAGAGTTAATGAGAAAAGTGTGCTCAGTGCTTCATGAGGTCTATTTCAAAACTTTGCATTCCTTCAGAAACATGTCACCGCTTGATATCAACCCCATAAGAAAAGGGCTGCTTCAGAACTCCATTCAGATGTCTCCTCACAAGGATATGTTATGCTTTGTTTAGTTTCCAGCATGCATTGTTCTCTCTTTAAGGTCATTGAAGCACCTCCAATGGAGCATATTGAACAGATCAGGTCCAGATGCAGAAGTTCCATTCCTTGTATGAGCAGTGTTGTTTGTAGTATAGACACAAGCTCTGGTAGCTAGTGCTGTTGTGGACCTGAAAGGTCATTTTGTATGTATATGAATACAATGAGGCCTTGGTTTGGATAAAAATGCTGCCTGTACATTTTCATGTTAAAATACTTTATTCTATCTTTCGTCATTTCTCCAAAAAAGCATCATTCTACAGTAGTTAAGCAGTGAGTTACATCATTGTACAAGAAGCAACAGTCAAGTTTGAAAACAGTCAGTTTCGCTCATTTATGCTAGTGTGGCAGAAATTGCATACTTCACCTTTAACAAGTCTTGTGTCTTCATGTATGGACATTTATATGGCCCAACGACATGTTAAATTTTATTAGAAATGGCATTAAAGTAAAAAAAAATTCCTGAAAGCTTTGCCATTTGGTAATAGATGTCTCATTTACTGTTTTTAAATTCTTTTATGTGAATATCAGCTTCTAAATATCAAGGAAACAATATCAGCTAGATTTTCTATGGTTTTAGCTCTGCTAGACTTTACAACGTTTTCACCATTTCCCTTGCTTTGTCTGACTTGGTAGTATAACGTGCAGCCATGCACATCTGTTTAGCTGACTTGCACTAACACTCCCTTAAATGTCTGCTCCAGTCAAAATGGTGACTTCATCCGTCAGTGTGAGAGCCGGTCGTAAAGCTGCCTGCTGCTGCCAGATGTTATGCAATAGCAGGAGCGTGTCTGTGCGTGTCATTCCTAACCTGATTTAGCTTCTCATAAAGCGCAGTGCAGGATCTTGTGTTTATGAAGAATGATTTCATTACAGGATTGAACAGATACCAGCATCTCCTCACGCTAGAGCTAACATGGCAAAAATGATGCCTATCATTTTAAAAATGAAGGCTATCTTCTGATTTTTGAGTAAAACTGCAGGAACCACTTCAGCGTTGCTTCAAAGAAATGGAAAATTGCTAAAAGTAGAGAGAAGTCCATTCCGATGGATCATTTATTCACTTTATAGTTCAGTGGCTCTCTATGTAAGGCCTCAAAATGACTATCTCTATTGTAATGCACCAAACTGGCATGTTATCACCATTTACTACCTTAATACTAATCACATGACCTACACTGGAACGTGCCGTAGGTTTGGTACAACACAGTAAAATAAACACTTCATTCCTCAGTCGCCCTCACCTCTTGACAGATGTGAAAATTAATTTTCAAAGGAATGTTACAGCCAGACGGCTTCCTGTGTTGAGGTTGACATCAGCGAGTCATTAGCGTGACAGGAGGTGAATCATTAGGTGTGTTTGTTCTGTCATTTGAGATTATACTATGCTGTTAAAGGTGATTTGTTAGTCTGATATGAAGGGCGGTGGTTCATTCATCTTGACGGAAGTCCACGCCCTCTTACAGTGCTGAACTGTCAAGTTATGCAGTGTTAAATCACGCTGGGTCTAAACAGGTCATAAGGTAATGAAGATATGCTCTGTCCACGGGTTCTAAAGTGGAGTAATTTGAAGACGGGTGGTCTGTTTCCCCCCCTTCTCCTCAGTGGGAGAACAATGTTAAAGAGTTAGGTTTTATGGGCTTAGGCGCATAAGGCCGCCATTCAAACAGGAGAGGGATGAAATGGAACCGTGGTTTATTTATAGAGACTGCTTGAACATTTGATGTTAAACATAATAATTGGTGGTGCTTGCTAAGGATTTGAACAAACCACTAATCTTGTGTTTTAAACTTTGTCATGTAACACATCCTGCATTGATTGTGCTATACAGGCATGAAAAATAGTCGTTGAGGTGAGGAGAGGTTGCTATTATTTTCAAAGCAATTTGATTTATTTGTTTTTGTCTAAACATGCACTGTCATCCCGTATGGATAGGGGGTAAATCACCCAAAAATAAAAATTCTATATTCATTTACTTACCCTCATGTAAGTATTTCTCCATTGAAAGTCCAGGTAACCAAAGCACTGTAAAACAAAGGCGTTGTAAAACAAATCCATATGAATCAAGAGGTTTAATCCAAGTCTTGTGAAGAGATACGATTGCTTTATATGATCAACAAATATAATTTAGACTTGTACCGCTCTATTCATATGGATTTTTGGATCTTTTAGGTTTTGGTTACCTGGACTTTAAATGGAGGAACATAAACTTCTCAGATTACATTTAAAAATATCTAAATGTGTGTTTTGAAGATTAACCAAAGTGTTATTAGTACAACATTTGAAACCACATGAAGGTGAGTAAATGGTTGCAAGAAATTAAATTTTTGGGTGAACAGTGCCTTTAAATGAGGGACCGAGCTATATTTAGTGCATGTCTTTGGTTTGGCCTCTTTTGGGCCATTAAGTAACCACCTAGTAACACCCTAGAAACCACATAATGCTCAAAAAACCCACCCCAGTCTCCTATTTCTAATACAGTCTCGCAGCATTAGCGATTTGAGTTTTTCCCATGTCAAAAGTAGGGATTCAGTTCATCAGCTAATGGTATTTGGAAGCTGGTTTGGCCTTAATATTTCTCAGAGCATTTTCCTTTATTCCTCCTTTCCTCCACCTCCTCCTCCTCCTGTTCACTTTCCATTGCACACATCGGCATATTTCTTCAGCATTCCTGGGATTTTAACGCTGCTTTACTATTCCTGGCAACAGAGCAGCCCTTTGTCTACTTTTGCACCCACTATCCATTAATGTCTCAAATCATTCCCAAAACCAGATGCATTGGTTCTTGAACCTCAAAGGAAGACTTTCATGGTGAAAGCAATGTGAAACCTACAGATGAAGAAGGATGGATCTTTGTGTACTAGCTATGAAATCCATAATCATTCCAATGTACAAATGTTATGATTTGTATTTGCTTCAGTGGATGTCCATCTGGTTTGCATTAGCAGGCAACATGCCATTCAGCTGAAATTAAACACAACTGCAATTAGAAAATTATATATGATGTAATCTTTAGAAGTTTAGAGCACAGTTTGAGTTTTTCTTTTGTGATTTGTTCCCTGGGGTTCCGGCACTGTGACGTTAAGCTGAACTGAAGCTGGTCTGCTCCCTTGATGAAGACATTTATTACTTTGTGCATATTACTCTGGAGGTTAGAGTTAGAGTTTTGTGGCTTTTAGTCAATGTCTTCTAGCTTTGAGGTCATCTACATGCTAGTGTGCTTTTAAAAGCTGACTTAATCCAATTTATTGAAGATATAAGAGTATAAGAGTATAAAGTATTTTTCTTGAAGGAAAACAGACCTTAAATGCTGATGACTTGGTTTAGAAAGAAGTCTTTTATGATCAATGCTGCATGTATTTGATCAAAAATCCAAACAAACAAACAAATAAATAGATGCAAAAACAAAAAACAGTAATATTGTGAAATATTATTACAGTTTAAATTAACAGTTTTTTAATTTAATATATTTTCAAATGTAATTTTTTTCATGTGATGGCAAAGCTGAAGACTCCAGTCTTCGGTGTTACATGATCCTATTATATTTTATGCTCAAGAAACATTCCTTATCAATGCTGAAAATGGTTATACTACTTAATATTTTTGTGGAAACCACCTTTTTTAGGATTCTTGATGAATAAAAAGTTAATAAGAACAGCTTTTGTTTGAAATAGAAATCTTCTGTAACACTGTAAATATCTTTACTGTCACTTTTGAGCAATTTAATTTATCCTTGCTAAAAAGTATAAAACGTGTATGTATGTATATATATATATATATATATATATCAAGATTACTGGCTGTCAAGAAAATGTAATAATTCACTGCAGACACTTAACATTTTATTGATGTTCATAGTCCGATTTTAAAAAATGGCACATCACCGTTGTAAATTTTGGTCCATTCCTCTTAGAATATAGCACACAAGTAAATTACTGCTATGATATATTGTTTGTTGTTTGTTTTGAGCTTGATAGCTTGTTACTAGGGGTGTGGAAATTAATCGTTTCTTCGATGCATCGCGATGCAGACGAGAACGATTCGGTATCGGTTCAGTAATAGACCATAACTGATTATAACCTACTGACGCTTTTCTGACGTCATTTGTCGCCGTAGCATACATTAGGCGCGTTCGGCTTGAAGCGCCGCTGCGCAGAATGATCAGTGTATGACCAAGTACCGTGAGAGCGATAAAAGAGCAGACGGATCCTTATGCTTTAGCGGTTGATGTCATACACTCATCCTGCGCAGCGCTGCTTCAAAATCGAACACGCCTAATGGCAGAGGGAGGCGAGACGCAAGTGCGAGTAATTAAAAATGCTCCGTCGGCGCCAATAGCCTAATGGGCAGTGCGCCGACATATAGTGCCGTTGTGCTCCGGGCGTCCCGAATTCTAGTCCCGGCTCGTGGACCTTTCCCAATCCCGCCCCCCTCTCTCTCTCCTACTTTGCTTCCTGTCACTGCTATACTGTCCTATCAAAATAAAAATGCAAAAAAAAAATCTTGAAAAAAAAAATGCTCCAACTACTTTAAA